AAAGTTTATTGGGCACTTACCTGCGAGTTGGCTTCGGGATCGGTGGTGTGGTAGCGATGACGACGGAGGCAGCGAGGTGCTGACGTGGTGGTGGCGGCGACGACGAAGATAACGACGATGGTGATGACGTGGTGGCGATGACGATGACGAAGATGATGACGATGGCGATGTCGGAACAGGGGGGAGGAGGGAGGGCCGTTTGCCGCTCCGATCCAGTGTGATGAGGCTGAGGCAGAGTAGTGAGGTCGGGGAAGAGAGAGGGAGGGAGTGAGAGCACACACACACACACACTCAGTCAACTCGACACAGACTCGACACGACTCGGCGGACGCAGACACAAAGTGGCAAAGTTGCGAAGTTGCAAAGTCGCGATCTTGGATTCCGAGCACAATGTCGCAGCAAGTGGCATTGAAGCACAAGCACTGAGGCCGTAAACTGAATGCCCGAACTCAGCTTGAATCCGGTCTTAAGTACCGGACTCAAGTTGAGTCTGGAGGGCAGAAGTGCAATTTGCCTTGGGGCTAAACTGAAAATCGAAGGTCTGAGCCTGGGCGCCAGAATGTCGGATGGCGCCAAGTATCGAAATCTGAAAGTGCCAGAGGGAGGATTTGAGAACGGGCGCCAACTGCAGAAGGGCGCCAACAGTCAGAAACCGGAGATCAGAGATTCAAAAATGAAATAGCAGCCTGGCGGGTGGTAACCTGCGGACCAGGGATCGAGACGTGGTTGAGGCTGTAACATCCCTCCTTCCGCACACACATGAGGAAGATACCACGGATGAAGAGATGGGGGAGAGTCGAGATGAAGATGGAGGTGAGGGAGAATACCAAGATCGCGACAGCGAAGTCCGAAAATAGTCTCCCTGCCGAATGTCCAATCAATGTCTGCCACAAAACAAAATGTCGAATCAGATCCTGGGCCTCATGCCCTATGTAACCTCCGCCTGTAACACCTCTCTCTCTCTCTTTCTCTCTCTCTCTCTCTCTCTCTCACCTCTCTCTCTCTCTTTCTCTCTCTCTCTCTCTGTGTGTGTGTGTGTGTGTGTGAAAGAAGAAGAAGAAGAAGAACCAAGGAGGGAGAAGAGATGGAGGGCGAGACGAAGAAGAAGAAGATGTTCGACCTTCTCGCTGTCTCACCTGCAGGTAACTGCCGCCATGTACTGACCGCGTGGTGTCCCTGTGCAGGCCGCTGGCGCAGCGCTCAGCTATGGCACCCAGGTAAGTACCGCCGCTGCAGGTATGGCCTCCGCCTTGCTCTACCTCTAACGCAGCGCTGTGTCGCGCTGCTCCAGCAGCGTGTCGCCCAAGAAGTGAGCTACTCGAACTGTGTCTGCCCTCGAACTGTGTCTGCCCTTGCCTGGTCCAGCTATAAGTAGCGCTGGGCCTTGCGGGTGTGCCGCTGTGTGCCTGTGGTCCCAGGCTGAAAACCTGGCCTACTGGGGCTGGGTCCCGACATGATGTCCAGTCTTTGGGTCTTGAACCATAGACCTTCGTGTTAGCAGTTTAGCGTGTTACCGTTAGGCTTAGTCAGGGTCCCTCTGGGAGCCTCCACCTGGCTCTTCGGTAGTGTAAGGGTCAATCTGTAGCTAGTCCTAGCTGTTAGCAAAGGGTCAGTCTGTAGGTTCTAGAAAGTCGTAGGTCCAGTCTACTGCGTCTGAGTCAGCAAGTAGACCAGTCCACCTTGTCCAGTCAGCAAGTACCAGGTGGGAGTTCCACGCGGTTTGGGGCTCAAAGGCGCACGTGGTTTGGGTCTTCCAGGCCCACGCGGTTTGGGCCTTCCAGGCCCACGCGGTTTGGGCCCCAGGGCCAGAGGCACAGCACGCCAGGCCAGCTATGAAACACCAAATAAAATGGCAACGCCCAGCCATTCATTCATTTGCCTGTGAGCCGTGCAGAAGCGCTGCTGGAGTGACTTGTGCAGTGGAGGTCTGCAGGTTCCCAAAGCTGAAGTGAGCTGAGGAAGACAACGACGACCATAGATAAGAGGAGGAAGACGACGGTGGCCATAGCTAAGAGGAAGAAGACGACAGTGACCATAGCCGCCAAGCTGCTGACATCCACGGTGCAGTGGAGGTCTGCAGGTTCCCAAAGCTGAAGTGGGCTGAGTGTAGTGTGCATGTGTGTGTGTGTGATGGGTGGACGTTCACGGTGGATCTTTGTGCGTGTATGCGTGAGTGAGAGTGAGGCTGATGGTGGAGACAGTGTTCGGCTGGGACTTCAGACGGTGTTCAGCGGCCATACCCGCAAGTT